TGGTCATTTCCACACGAAAAACAATCTCCGTCATGGTATAGGTGTGATCTTCTTCCAGGTCTTATCTATAGAAAGTAAAACATTCCTTTGTCTCAAGTTGGCACGATGGGAGGGGGTCGGTGCGTGTGAGCAAACATTTTTTTAAGCAAGGATTTCTTAAAGTACCACAAAGCCCAGCAGGCAGAAAATATTCACAGACAACATATGTATTCATACTAAAACATTTATAAATATGAAGAAAGAAATAGTATTAAAGTATAAAAGTAAATATGTAAGAAAAATGTGTAGAAAAAATATATATATATATAATTCAATAGGAAACCAAATAGGCATTTTACCATATCCATCAACACTACAAGAGGTAATTTCTGTTGCGGCAGGGCAATATCAGCTTCTGTTCCCAATGGTGTGTACTTGGTTTTTTCCTCAGTACACTGTTACAGATGTTGATATTTTAATTAAGAAAATGAAATGAGTAAAAGAAACATGATATTTTTCTTGTGCTTATTCAAGTATAGAGCATAATGTGTGTTCTCTCTAGGCACTGTGTTTAAATTAAAGATCTAATGTTTTGCCTCTTGAAATATGTCAAAAACTCTCATGGGGTGTGCTCAGTTTTTCACTTAACTGTATATAGAACACATGAGGTTCTAAAGAGCCGTGACCACATGTTAAATGAAAATTCTGAACTTAAACCCTTGGCACACTACTACAGTTATTTTTAGCAAAGTTTTGAATAAAAGCAGGGATTCTCTTGGTTGCTTATATTGCAATACAAACTGGCCAACTGCATCGCAGTGATTCCTCTATGGCCATTCCCTACTTGAAGCGGAGCTGCACCCAAAAGGGGAAGTTCCGCTTTAAAAAAAGCCTTTGTCCCCCGCGCCCCATTAAGGTTTGGCAACTTTGGGGAGCTGGGGGAGAGCGGGTACCCGAACTTGACAGGTACCTGCTCCCAATTCCGCTGTGATTGCCTAGGCCAGGGGTCTGCAACCTTTAAGACATAAAGAGCCACTTGGACCCATTTCCGAGAGGGAAAAAAGACTGGGAGCCGCAAAACCATTGCAACATTTAAAACAAATCCGACACTGCATATATTGCAAAAAACGCTCTGGTCATGAAGGGGTTTAAGGGCCCAGTAAGCAAAGGGTTAATCCGGGCCACAGTGTATCGTCATAATCACAATCATAGCCTTAGGTCAGTGGTGGGCAACCTTTTTTTTCGACTGAGCCAAATCTCGCCAAAACCACGATTGAAATTTATTTTGAGAGAAACATTTTTAAAACTGAAAATACATCCCCCATATAGTAATTCATCCCCTATATAGTAATTCATCCCCCATAGTAATTCATCCCCCATAGTAATTCATCCCCCATATAGTAATTCATCCCTCATATAGTAATTCATCCCCCATAGTAATTCATCCCCCCTATAGTAATTCATCCCCCATATAGTAATTCATCCCCCCTATAGTAATTCATCCCCCCTATAGTAATTCATCCCCCCTATAGTAATTCATCCCCCCTATAGTAATTCATCCCCCTATAGTAATTCACCCCCCCCTATAGTAATTCATCCCCCCTATAGTAATTCATCCCCCCTATAGTAATTCATCCCCCATATAGTAATTCATCCCCCTATAGTAATTCATCCCCTATAGTAATTCATCCCCCCTATAGTAATTCATCCCCCATAGTAATTCATCCCCCATAGTAATTCATCCCATATATAGTAATTCATCCCTCATATAGTAATTCATCCCCCCCTGTAGTAATTCATCCCCCGTAGTAATTCATCCCCCCTATAGTAATTCATCCCCCCTATAGTAATTCAGCCCCCATAGTAATTCATTCCCCATATTGTGTGAATTCACTTACCTTTGCTCCGCGCGTTCCTCTCGCTGGGTTTCCGCGCCGTTCTGGTCTTCAGGGCGGACTGTGAGAGGAGAGGAGTTCGTCACGCTGCCCCGCCTACATCCGGGCTGCCCCGCCTACATCCTGACAGCCAATGTTTGCCAGCGGGCGCCCGGCACACAGAAGATCTACATTAAAAGAGCCGCGACTTGCCGACCCTATTGCCTGTCACCTGGTGGGCAGTGTGCTCCGGAGCCGCAGGAAAGGTGAAAAAGAGCCGCATGCGGCTCCGGAGCCGCGGGTTGCCGACACCCGGCCTAGGCGATCAGGAGCGGAAGTTGTCCGCCCCCCCCCCCCCCCCCCCCCCCCCCCCCCCCCGTATTCCTTTGGGACATGTGACAGGTTGCAGAAGACTACTGGGCCATTCACAAAGTGCAGCGCATGCGCAGTGGGCACCCGTCTGTGAAGCCGCAAGCTGTCACAGGCGGTGCCCACACTAAAGATGCCGGCACCGGGGAGAGAAGACAGCCGGTGGAACCAGCGGTGGTGAAGAAACCGCTAAACCAAGGGACAGGTAAGTGGTTGCATTATAAATGTCAGCAACTACAGTTTTTGTAGCTGATGACTTTTATTTTTTTAGGTGGAACTCTGCTTTAAAGTGGACGTTCAGCCTATTCCTAACTAAGCTTAAAAACTGCCCCCACCCCCTTTCTAAACCCAATTTTGTCTACCCTGTGAAGAGAAGATGTCCATACTTGCCTATTCTGAGGGTGATCCATTCCGGCCAGCTTCAGTGAAGGGGGCATCACTCGTAGGCTTACTCTGGGGCACCTGTTGTCAGCTTCCCCTCCTCCTCTTCACTGAAGCTGCCGCTGACAGCGGATCATGTGACTAGAATGGATCACTGTCAGAATAGGTAAGTATACTCATTTTCCTTCCACAGGGTAGATAGAATAAGGTTTAGAAGGGGGTGGGAGCAAGTTTAAGCTTTGTTAGAAATAGGCTGGACTTCTACTTTAACTGTGCAGAATGACAAATACTTTGATTGAAGTATAGTACCCATGTGGGGAAGACAAGACAGTTGGAGAGCTACAGTCTCAGGTCAGGTCTCAGGTCTGGTAACTACATTCTCGGGTCTGGTAACTACAGTCTCGGGTCTGGTAACTACAGTCTCGGGTCTGGTAACTGCAGTCTCGGGTCTGGCAACTGCAGTCTCGGGTCTGGCAACTGCAGTCTCGGGTCTGGCAACTGCAGTCTCGGGTCTGGCAACTGCAGTCTCGGGTCTGGCAACTGCAGTCTCGGGTCTGGCAACTGCAGTCTCGGGTCTGGCAACTGCAGTCTCGGGTCTGGCAACTGCAGTCTCGGGTCTGGCAACTGCAGTCTCGGGTCTGGCAACTGCAGTCTCGGGTCTGGGCAACTGCAGTCTCGGGTCTGGCAACTGCAGTCTCGGGTCTGGTAACTGACCTGCACTATACTATGTAACTGGAAAGATGTCTGTGCTCAAATCCAAATCTCTTACCTATACATACTGTATATATAACACATGATGTGATAAAGGAGTATGACAACATGCTAACACTGAAGATTCTAAATGATCCCTCAGCACACTGCTATACACCTTTTACATATTTCTAGCAAGCTTTTGCCTAAAACAGGGGGGCCCCCGTCTTTTGAGTAGTAACCCCAGGCAAACCTGTCGGCCTTTCTCCTTACCCTGATCAAACCTGGTATAGTGTTATGCTATAAAACGGCTCACAAACTTGTGAATTCATTGACAGTTGCATTTGGCTTGCAGTTGACCTCCCTCTGACCTGCATATGATGTGCATCAAAAGGATTTTGCCTTCACATATACTTTAATAGAAATGCAAAATTCTTTTGACATGAACAAAAGCATATCAACACAGGCCATAAGTCTTACCAATTAACCAACCAGTTTCCTCAACTATCCAATGTTATGGCTTCGCTAACCTATACTGTAGAACCGATCAGGTTGGCACTTGTTCAGGGTAATTCGTACAATCTTTTTGATTTCATAACAATCACATTGTAATGTTTGTGATCAGCTTTGAAGTGGTTGTAAACCCTCACATATACCCAATTAAGTGACTGGTCTCAGGTGATACACAGAGATAAAACAAATCCGTCTACATAAGTTGTACCTGTTTATCTATAGCAGTATGCCCCCCTACATCCATTCAAAGTGCAGCATTTATACAGGAACTCTCAGATCTGAAACACAAGGGGTGGGAAGCTGACGTTACACTAAGGAGAGCTCTAAAAGCTGATTGGAGGGAAGGGACACATGCACACGCTGTGCCCTCCCCTGGTACCATTTTTTTTTTTCTTGGTGTCCAGAAAACTTGTCAGAAGTGATTCATGCTGATAGCAGAAGAATGAGTCAGCAGGCAGAAATGACACTTGCTCTGGATTGAGACAAACAAACACTATAAAAGGATATGCTTTGTTTATATTTCATGTCTGAGGTTTACAACCACTGTAATTGTGCTCCCAGCTTCCTGTAAAAGCATTTGCTCATTGCAGACAGTACTAAGCAATACACTTTGTACCTTGACAGGCATCTTTCTATATAACTAGGCACGTGGCATGCGCATGACAAAAACATTTTGCTGCTCCAGGGCATTCATATCACATCACAGACATCACTTTGAGGTGGTAAATGAAGTTTGGAGTTGTCCTTGACTCTGCTATTAAAGTGCACCTGTATTTTGACTACACCACAAGTGGTCAGGGAGCAGTAAAAGCAGGCAGTTGAGATCAGTGGTTTGGCATTTTGATGGTTAAAGCAGGAAGTGAGGAGGTGACATATTGTCTTCTCACTGCCTGTCAAATGCCCTCTGAAAAGTGATCCACTGCGGACCGCTTTTCAGATGTGCAGCAGTATAACTGCCCATGCGAACGACCCCTAAGAACCCAAAACTTTATTATCTGTTCAGGATGCAGTTAACCTTTTTATTGGAGACAAACCTGCATGACTGGATAACTATGACATCCCTCTGTCGGGTATCCTTTTTAGTGAATAAACTGATTTAAAGCTGTACATACATGTCATTGTTTTTGTAATGTGCTCTGAGAAGGAAAGAGTTTCTGATTTCTAGAGTTCCTGATTTTTGTTTAATTTTTACAGCGAGGAAGAGGATGGAGCAGATGGAGAATGGCAACTATGAGAAGGAGGTCAGCAGTATGGGCAGCAGGTCCAGCTCTTCAGGTAAAAGAGCCGCTCTCAGATTAAATGCTATTACCCAATTTAGGGCTTCCACCTCTGTTTACATTAAGACTGGCAGCTCTTCACTGTACAGTCAAATGTTATCCGTTCTTCTTCCATCGTTAAAATTGTCAACAAAGGACCAAAATGCAAGCTTGCAAAATTTGGGAAACCGTTGTCTGATGCCGAAAAGATGCAGTCACGGATCTAGTAGAGTATAGTTTGTAAGGAAACCGTGGAATGTGAGTTTGAATGATAATTTGTGTCAGCCACCAAGTAGTGGTAGAACAAAAGGCTGCTTTTACCTGATCGGGTCCATCAGGAATGACAAAGAGTGGGTTAGCCTAATGGAGGCAGTGGCTGCAAGGTAGACAAGCACAGTGCAAACGAAGTCCCTAGAATGAAGGGAAGTCTTCTTTCCAAAGGTGGTTTTGGCCTTTCTTCGTAACCAGGACATTGTACCTCCATCCCTCTTTCTGGCCCCATCAAAAGGATGTGTAGGACTAGGAACAGTTCTTTACAGGATAAAGCTGCCAGTTCAGGCACAAGACATAATGGCAACGAGTATGGAATAAAGTGAGTTTGAAAATGGGAATATCCCTGGTTGGTTCAAAAGGCCTTTTTTTTTTTTTTTTATATGCCAAGAGAACCGAATTCAAATCCCATTGAGACACAGGTGTGTGTACATAAGAAATGCCTTAATAGTACTCAGGGCCAAATGTTGATCCAGGTCTGATTTAAAAAGGTTAGGATTTGTCCCAATTATTATTTTCTATGATGATTTTTTCTGTCCTCGCACCCAGTGAAGTATGTCTTCCATGTCTGATGATAGATCTTGTGTGGTTTTTAACATTATGAGGATCCCAGAGTTGGAGAAGCCCAGTCCCTCATTACCTAGAGTTCAACATCCACACTGTAAAAGACAACTAATGTGAAGCAGGATGGTAAACCGGTCCTAACTCTATGGGCTCTTCCAGATCAACTGGATCATCTGTCCCAAGAGTCTGATTAGCTCAGTGTACCACATCTGCTTGGATCAGTGCAGAGCCTTGGGGAGCACCGGAATGCTGTCCAACTTGATCATGCAAGGCAGAAGAGGAAGATGTTTTAGAGGAGGAAAGGCATACAATGGGTGGTACTGATTGCATGAAGCCACTAGAGTATACATTGCTTCTGCCAGAGCATCTCTGAACATGGAGACAAATCTCTCTAGTTTGTTATAGAATCTGGAGGCCAGATGGTCCCTATTCAGCTTTTCCCACCTGCAACACAAGTTCTGTAACATTTACGTGTGCGGGGACCATTCCCCTTGGTCTAGACGCTTTTCACCTGTGGTAGCCTGCTTGCCAGTTGTCCACACTTAGGATGTGAATGGTGAACAAGGTTGAATCCTTAAGGTCTGCCAAGGTTGTAATCCATTTTACTACTCTTGCCCCAGCAAGAATTCTGGTTCCTCCCTGATCGTCGATGTACACCACTGCTGTAGCATTGTCCAACTGGATCCTGATCAGAAGCACCCACCAGTCGAGGTGTCCAGCATTGTAGAGAAAATCAAATGTTAACAGAGAGTCAGGATTTCTCAGGCGTCCAGGTCCCTTGGCCCGACAACGTGTCTGACTCCTCCCCATGTCAGGTTGATGTCCATTATGATGATTCTTCAAACAGTTCAGAAGGAAGGATTTCCCAGCTTCAGAGCTAGATACCTGACTGAAGACAACCTGGTTTTGGTGTCATGTGAAATGGTTTGTCCAAAGACTGAAACAATTTGTTCTATGATAACAGGATGTTGAGCTGTAGGTGTCTGAAGGCAAACGGGACTTCCTAGAAAAAGGCCCTCATCAGCCCTTTGCAAAAGCAAACTGTTGGGCAACTCTTGGACTGAAGAATCTGACCTTGATGTCTACAGAGGCGAGAATGTGTCCCTGATGGAGGACTATGACAGACTTTGTGGGCTGCATGCTTATTTTTTTATAAGATTGAAGATATTTAGGGCCTGAAATCCAAGATGAGGCGTATGCTCCCATTTGGTTTTGGAACTGTGAAAAGGTTAGAAATAAAATCTTGCAAATGTTTTTCGTAATGAAACCTCAACCCAGAGATCTACAAATCTGCATGGTGACACTGGAAGGTTGAAACATGAAGTGAGGAGCGGTTTAAGAGCAGAACTCCCAATGGGTTTGTAGCCTGTTGAAACCAATTTCCTTACCCAGGCATTTTATATGCTGTCAATGTCCACAAAGGCTAACAGATGTCCTCCCACTTTGGAATGTAGAGGCACCCCTTCATGTCAAAGAGGACCTGCCTGCAGGATTGGGGGTATAGGGGGCCTAGGGGTTGTAGTAAAAGTGATCTCCTGGCTTGAATTTGGCCTCGGATACCAATGCTGGGAGTAAAGAAAGGAATTCCTTGCCTTGGAGGAAGGATGATTCTTATCAGCTTGAGGCCTAGACTTCTGTTCCTGGGGTAGATAAGTACTCTTACCCCAAGTAACATCCTTGATGATGGTGCCCAAAGCAATCTCCAAAGATATATTCACGCTGAAAGACATGCGCAGAAAACACTTTTTTCATGCAGAACAACATTTCAACCAAAGAGTTCTCTGCATGTTCAGAGATAAGAGACTTGTATGTTAAATATTCACTTCAATATTCACAATATTCACACTGAGGATCTGTGCCCAGCAGTGGTGCCTAGCAGTGCTGCCTATCAATGCCTCCTATCAGTGCTCCTACCAGTGCCCCTATCAGTGCTGCCTATCCGTGTCCCCTCATCTGTGCCTATCAGTGCTGCCTATCAGTGCCGCCTATCAGTGCTGCCTATCCGTGCCACCTCATCAGTGCCCATCAGTGCAGCCTCATCAACGCACATCAGTGAAGGAGAAAAATTACCTGTTAGCAAAAAATTGGGAAAAAAAAAATGTCTGTTTCTAAATATTTTGCACTTTTTTTTTTTTTTCATAGCGCAAAAAATAAAACACCCAGTGGCAATTAAATACCACCAAAAGAAAGCTCAATTTTGTATGAAAAAAAATTATAAAAATTTCATATGGGTACAATGTTGCATGACCACGCAATTGTCATTCAAAGTGCGACAGTGCTGAAAATTGGCCTGGGAAGGGGGTAGAAGTGCCCAGTAGGCAAAGGGTTAATAAGCAACAAAAAAAAAATTACTTGTTGTCCTCTAGCCAGTCTAATGATGTTACAGCAGCTTCCTGTTTTCACTTCAGATGTGGTGGGGGGGGCGGGCACTCTTCCAGGGTTGAGCAGGGCTGACGTTGAGCGTTGCTTAGTCCTGCAGTACTAAAAGCCCAGCCTGTGTGATAATGCACCCTTATAGGGGGTGCGTTAAGGACCGGCTGCACTCACATTAAAGTCAAATCTCAAAAAGCAGTGACTGTACACTGAGTGGTCTCTTCTGTCATAAATGGCCCCCCACCCCGGCTTGTTGGTGGTAATGTAATATGAACCGCACATGTGCAGTTTAGACCACAATTACAGCACCCGCCGTGAGCCACGGTGATGTCATTCCTGTGGCATGTACAGGAGTGACACCACAGGAGCACAGCCATTTAATTGGCCAAAGAGACGCAACGAGGAAGGAAAACTGGGGGACGATGGAAGTTCTTAGGACCAGAGGGAGCGGTGATAGCGCATCGCTGCTGAGCTCTGTTTGACAAGTAAGTGTATCATAATATGCTAGTATGTGGTATAGGGGTTTGACATTTTTTTTTTCTTCCTTTTAATGCCCCTCCAGGTTGGCCTATGTGCCCATGCACGCATACGGGTTTCAGGGGTGTTTAGAAGCAGAAAAATAAAACATCACTTGTGCGTTCAAGGGAGGAACATTTTGGCAGAAAAAAAAACCCTAACCATGTGTAAACACTCTAGGCGCGTTTTAGCTCTTGAGCATTTTTCATTTCAATGGCCAAAATTAAATGAATTTTCTGGCCAATGAAATAAGCAAATGCCCAAGTTCTTTGCCTAGGCAGCAAAGAAGCTGCTTGAAGCTGCTTCTCTTCTGCCAGGAGAAAAGTGTTTACAAAAGCCCCATTGTGCATGAAGAGTAAATGATCAGAATGACATGACTGTTGTTCTGCTAGAAAAGGACCGGCAGCGCTAGACCGTGGAAGACGTTGGGGACATTACTGGAGCGTGGTCAGCATAGGTGGGATTTGGCTTTTCCGGGGAAGCCTTTGCAGTTGTGTTGCTGTGGGAGTCGTTCCCATCCCTGTACACTTATTTCTGATACACAAATCACGCACTGTACCTGCCAGCTGGATGGGCCCATTACAGCCGAATTGTGTAGCTATACATCTGTAATTGGAGTGATTTCAGTAATGATACTTAAAGACAAGTATTCCCCCGCTGACACAATTGTTTATTTGCAGGAAGTACTATAGGAGGAGTGTTGCACTGAAACCATCGGAGCACATTAACTCCGGAGTAGAACGCTGTTTGTAGTTGTACCCACTGGATTAACCACTGTGTTCACTTTCCTCCTACACAGCACAGCATTCTGTATTATTACATTTCTTGTATCCTCTCATCATGACATGGCAAACAATGAATGGCTGCTTTTACAGGGACAGTTTATGAAAAGGAGAAATTGATCAATTTCAGTTTCGTGTGTAAAATCACGTCAGCTTTATAGTCATTCATTTTCATCTGCCTGTGCGTTCTACTTCCCGGGGGAAATCTTATTCTTCAGGAAAGGAGAGAGTAAAGCTAGCCATAGATGAGTTGGAAAATGAATGCAAATTTGAAAAAAAAATTGAAACATTCTCTCCATCTAACATTTGATAGCTCAGTCACTATACTAGAAATTTTTCCAGATCGTTTCAAAATTTTTTTCAGTAATTTTCTACATTAAACATGTTCCCCCCCCCCCCCCCCCCCCCCCCCCCCCCCCCGATTGATTTCTAATACTACCCCTACAGCTCATATGCCATTACTTTTTTTTTGTATGTATTTGACCTATAAATGATTAGAAAATTGCTAAAAAAAAAAACCTTTCCAACATGTTTGTTCATTTTTAGACATGCAACAGAAATCGAATATCACTGTGAACACCGAAATCGAATGATGGCTGTACCGACTCAATATTTCGTTTAATTTTCTATCCATGTATAGCCAGCTTTAGGCTCCAGCAGAATATTTCAGGAGAGGAGAGTTAGATAGCGGAAGGAAGAGAGTTCTCCAGCAGTGCTAAGTATTTCTGGAAAGGAGAGTTAGATAAAGGAAGCAGTAGAGACCTCCAGCTGTACAGAATATTTCAGGAGAAAAGAATTGGAGAAAGGAGCAGATTCTGCTCCTTCCTCTATCTAACTCTCCTACCCTGGAATGCTCAGCACTGCTGGAAGAGTCCTCCAGCAGAGAAGAGTATTTCAGGAGAGTAGATTTAGATAAAGAAGCAGACTCTGCCAGCAGTGTGGAGTATTTCACGAGAGGAGAGTATAGAGGAAAGAGCAGAGTTCTCCAGCAGAGCAGAGTATTTCAGGAGAGGAGAAATTAGATAGAGGAAGTAGTAGAGTCCTCCAGGAGTGCAGAATATTTCAGGAGAGACTGTCATGGATCTGGATTTGTGTTGATGTCATAGGCCCTGACTGTCTTGCCTCCTATTTCTTATCTTTTTGACGCTTTTTACTTCATATAACAAATCTTTTGTTTGATGAGTCCATTGTTTGTTTTTACGTTCTGTGTGCACAGGGTCTCTCAATGCTCGAAGTAGCAATGACGATCGGTCTCCTGAGAACATTGGGACTGCCATGGTTGTGGACAGTTTTCCAGAAGTGGACAAAGCCGTCCTCATTGAACGGATTATCCGCCTGCAGAAAGCGCATGCCCGGAAAAACGAAAAAATAGAGTTCATGGAGGACCACATTAAGCAACTGGTGGAGGAAATTAGGAAAAAAACAAAGTACGTATGATGCTGATCTCCCAAATGTCACATGGCGGATTTCTGTCTGTGCTTCTAACACATCTCTGACTCTTGTGCCGCCACTAATCCACAGCAATGTCTAATTTCACTAATCTCATGTCCTCCGCTGAGCCACAAGCCCCGCTTTACAACACAAAAATGATAATAATATTAGCTATTCTATAGTTCTCTCTGATCTTGTCCTATAGCAATCTATAATTAGATCTATAATTATAATTTTATAACCTTACGGGGCCCCCTGGCTCTTACCCCACCAGTTGCCTCTGGGTCTTCTCATTCTCTGTTTCATCTCATTGTCTTCTGTTCCAACAATTTAACTATGTATCATTTCTGCTTTTGCTTGATTGAGAGACTAGACCAGCTTTTCTCAACTAGGGTTCCTCCAGAGATTAAGGGTTCTTTGATCATTGAGAAATTTCTGCCTTTCATATAAATAACCACTGACACCAATAATCATTTAATCTATCTGTAAGGGAGGCATTCTTCACATTGACCACCAGCGTCAGCATCATCCTTCCACTGACCACCTATGTAAGGAGCATTCTTTCCATTGCCCACCTATCATGTACCTGGTTGAGACTAGAACGTTTTGTGGGCTTCTCTTGCACCTCCTGCCCAACACTCCTGAAGGTGGAGACAGAGTGTGAAGGCACAGAGTGGCACAAGTTCACTGGTAGTTGGCTGACAGAATCCACTCCGTAGGTGGGTAGAACTGGAAGCTGCAGCCCTTGGGACAGGACACAGGAACAGCTTGGTACCAGAGCAGAAAGCAGTAGAGGAAACCAGAGAGCAAGCCAAAATCAGCAACAGCTGAGTAGCGTGGAACTGAATCAGCAGAGAGGGCAGAGTCCAGGAAGCAAGCACAGATTGATAACAGCCGGGCAATGCAGTACAGAAACAGGAGGCAAAGGCAAGTCCAGTAAACAGGCCAGGGTCAGAGGTAATAAAATGAGCTGAAGTGAGGCAAAAGGCAGAGGCGAAGTCCAAGGGGATGCTGGGTCAAACATAGATAAACAGATGCAAGTGGTTAGGTCTCAAGGAACAAGCTGAAGACCATTCTTCATCTCATCAGTTTGAATGGGCCACTGGGCGCTAAACATGCACATCAATTGCTAAGTGCATGTGTACATTCAAACCCATCACAGTATATCCAGGCTTGCCCTTTTGCCTACAAGAATGGGCAGCACAATGTGCAGGTGCATAAAGCTGCACTGTTTTGATCCTGGGAATCTTGTTTACCGTGCATCAACAATATAAGGAGCACTCTGTCCACTGACCACCAATGTAAGGGGCATTCCTCCCACTGATGACCTGTGTAAAGACATCCTTCCCACTGATTACCGATGTAAGGAGTATTCTTCCCATTGGCCACCAGTGAAAGCGCATTCTTTTTATTGACCACCAATATAAGGAACATTCTTCCCAGGACCACCAATGTAAAGATCGTTCTTCCAACAGACAACCAATGGAAGGGACATTCTTCCCACTGACCACCAATGTAAGGAGCATTCCTTCCATCAACCCCCAATATAAGGAGCATTCTTCTCGCTGACCACCAATGTAAGGAGCATTCTTCCCACTGATCACCAATGTAAGGATCGTTCTTCCAACAGACAACCAATGGAAGGGACATTCTTCCTACTGACCACCAATGTAAGGAGCATTCCTTCCATCAACCACCAATATAAGGAGCATTCTTCTCGCTGACCACCAATGTAAGGAGTATTCCAATTGACCACCAATGTAAGGAGAAGTCTTCCAAATGACCAATTTAAGGGTATTCTTTGCACTGACCACCAATGTAAGACGCATTCTTTGCACTGACCACCGATCGTAAGGAACATTCTTCTCATTGACCACCAATGTAAAGAGCTTACTTCCCACTGACCACCAGTGTAATGGGCCCTTCTCCACCAACCACCAATCTATGGGGGCCCCTTCTCTACTGACCGCCAATGTAATGGTAAACTTCATTGACTTCTAATGTAAAGAGGCAATTTCCACTGACCCCCAGTAAGGGGGAACACTACAGTTTTTACAGACTTCATTTAATTTCTTCTCATTATTATTTGTTTCATTATATCATTATTCCTGAAAGTAATTTTGTTCTGTAGAGCAGCTCTGGGTGTCAAACAAAGTAAGAACAAATTCCTTATATTTATTTATATATCCACAGCTTACTGTTCATGCTAAAGTCTCAGGAGCTGTAATAATTTTTATCAGGGGTTCCGTGAGACCTGAAAGTAATTTCACGGATTCCCCTGTGTTAAAATAGGTTGAGAAAAGCTGGACTAGACTGTATTTTCAGTACATGTTAGAAGATATTAATGTAACATTTTTACCCAAAAGTTATTTTTGATGAGACTTTTACACTTGCTGTTGAATATTTTATTGCATTGTACAGATTGTAAATGTTCTGTCCAGTGACCACTCTGAACATCAGGGAATGTCACTGGCAGCTCGTAGTATGGTAACCCGTGGATGCACTTAAAGTTTAACTATGGGCAAATGTAAAAATGACGTGTCATTTTTTATTTTCCCTTAGTTACCTTTTGAATTATGAAACTACTGGTTACATGCAACCTAGCACCTCCAGATGCCCAGCCACTCGTGCTGATGTCATGTAGAATCCCTGAATATTGGGAAAAGGTGACCAGGTACATTTGTCAATTTCTGGCCTGCCCCTCCCACTTCTTGCTCAGGATGTGTAAGGGCGCATATTAGACTGACAGTACACTAATACACTGATACAGAGACAGCAGTAGGGGCTTCCCATAGAATCTCACTCCCTTAGCCCTTGATTACTCTTGTGCTGTTCTCTAAAGAGCAATACACATTCGGATTACTTTTCAGAGAGCAGTTAACAGATACAGCGCTTTGGTCTGAGCATCCAATCAGCAGGCTTAAACAGTGTCACATGGGAGGGGGAGGAGAAGATCATTAACCCTGTGTAAGCTCTGACACTGCCCAACACTGAACTGACAGGGAATTGGAGCCAAGGCTCCGGCAGGAAAGAGCAGGTGGATTTGTATTAATGCCAGGCGTGGGAGTGAGCCTTCAAGAGAACATGTCACTTTGCCCATCAAGTGAAGCTTCATAGGTAGAGGACCATTCTCCCTCTTTTTTTTTGTTTTTTAATACAGCATTTATGCCTATATATATTTTATTAAATATCGTACATAGAAAAAGGATTCACTACACATTGAATAAATCGGCATGGTGAGTGGACCTTCATGCCAGCTGTACACATATATGCAGTAGCTGTTTCTACTGTTCTGTGCTGAGAGCGTACTCCCAGCATGGTGACTGAGCTGTCGCCGCTATTGGCTCCCGCTGCTGTTAATCACAGCCAGTAAGGAGGAGGAAGGGGGACGGGGCTGAGACATGCTCTGTGTGTCTTATAAACACACGGGACCGGCTCAGAAGCAAGCATGCACCAGTGCCCCCATAGGAAGCTGCTTGCTATGGTGGACACGTAGTGGAAGGGAGGAGCCAGGAGCGCCAGCAGGTGACCCGAGAAGAGATGGATCGGGGCTGCTCTGTGCAAAGCCATTGCACAGAGCAGGTAAGCATGACATGTCTATAGAATCACTTTTAGGCCAGGGGGAGCCAGTGCCAAGGGTTAAAGAGACACTGTCATCTGTCTCATTCAGGGCTCCTTGCCGTATTTATACTCGTCTTACCTAGGCTCTGTTACAGATCTTTCCTCCTCTGCAGCCATCACAATACCCAGCATTTTGGTCTGGATGAACATTTGACACCTTTTCCATTTGGTGGGAAGGAGGAGTGAGCAGGGGACCTGTGAATCTCCAGCACACAGACAGGAATACATTTTTTTCAGTAGAGTAGGGGATGGCTAGAACCTCCATCAGATTTATTTCTCACAATTAGCGGGAGCATTGTCAGTCTCCTCTTAGTGTTCCTTCAGTTGGCCTTTGGCCTGCCTATGAGGTTTTTCCAACTGAAGGAGCATACACAACAGGCTGACAACATGATTTCATAAGAAAATTGTACACATTAAGGAGTGATGCCAAACGTACTGAAAATGGATTCAGGGCTCTTTATATTAAAAATTTGCTATACAAATATCACAGCCATTCACACAACCATCACAAATAGTTGTCATATTTTGTCTAATTTGGTAATTTCCTATGATTGTCAGCTCCATCTACTGGCCATAATGTGGTAATTTCCTAGAATACTTCAAGCAAGAAAATATGAACATAAACATATAATAAAATAAACCTATTCGATGAAATACAGGGATAATTTGTGATGACAATGCGAATGCTTGTGATGATCATTCTATTATTTTTATAACTAGACGCATTAATATTTTACATAGGTTTTTTTTTTTAAAGATTACATAGATACATTTTTTTGACTGGCAAACTGATCAGTTTTAGAAATTGAATGGATTTACTAAATTAGAAGAATATTGTGATTAAAGTGATATTAAAGGCAATTACAAAAATTTTATTATTATTATACAGGATTTATATGGCGCCAACAGTTTGCTCAGCGCTTTACAATATAATGGGAGACAATACAGCAACAATACAGTTCAATACAAGAGGGATAGGAGGGCCCTGCTCCTTGGAGCTTACAATCTAAGAGGGAGGGGATAACATGTCATACCTGCTCTGTGCAGTGGTTTTGCACAGAGCAGCCCCGATCCGCCTCTTCTCTGGTCCCCTGACGATGCTCCTGGATGCTCCCTCCTGCTGAATGCCCCGAGAGCAATTAGCTTGCTATGGGAGCACCCAAGCAGGCTCGCTCCCGAGCTGCTGCTTTGCATGTCCATTCACACAGAGAGCCCCTCCTCCTTTCTCTTTATTGGCTGATTGAATGTGATTGACAGCAGCGGGAGCCCATGGCTGCACACAGAATGCATGAAGGTAAAAAACCTTGAGCCTTTACAACTACTTTAGAACCAGTAACTGAATCCCTTTTGTGTTTTTGTTTTTTTTTTGGGGGGGGGGGGATTTAGAATAAAAATTTTACTTGATCAGATTTCCCCATGTATGACCAGCATATAAGCAATGTGATTTTTTGTTTGTTTTTAATAGTCAGGACCAAAATAAAATGTTTAAAATAATTTTTCTTGGTTATAGTTGAACAGGAATACTTACAGTATGCTTATGTTCAAATTTCTCTATTGCTCTTTGGGGGACTCAGTTTGCGAATAAACAACCTAGGGCAGGGGCGGGCTGACAACTCATGGGGCCCCCGGGAATAGGGGATCTGGGACCCCTGTGTCCTTGCCCAAACTCAAAAAAGCCTATGAAAAAGGTACCAGGGGCATCTCATGGGGCCCCCTACTGACCCCGGGCCCTCGGGCAGTGCCAGAGTTTCCAAATGGTCAGTCCGCCCCTGATCTAGGGTCATACTGCCACCTACGGGAGTCTCTAATGTAGACGGCAGTATAACCCTAGGTTGCTTCTGACCAAGTTGTGTCCCTTAATGGACTCAGAAAAGGCTTTTCCAGTGAATATGAACATCCTTTTCTCTTTGGTAAGATAGGAGATAGTTAAGCCTATGACATATGTATTCATCCTTTGAGAGTTTGGTGGATGTTTTTGCCTTGTTCACATGGATGCTGAGATCTGTATACTATGATCCCAAATCACAAAAATGCAATACATCCAGAACCTTTGGCGCACTTTCAGAAAAGGTGGCAAAAACACGCAACCTAATAGAAGTCAGTGGAACAATAGCTAAGAACACGGGTAAACACATAGAAACTGCGCTTACTTCTGCACCGCGACCAAACTGCAGTGTACCAGTGTGAACCCGGCCTTAGCCTGAAAGAATGACCCTTTTGTAATGTTCTTCATGACAGAACCCTAATCCTGATGTAAAGTGTGACCAAAGTGCCATCCAGCTAATTTAATAAGCGAAATGCAGAAACCCCATTCACCAGATTTGCCCCTTGCATGTGAACTTTGAACTGTATGAACTGCTCCGTTAAAGCTTAACTCCAGGCAAATGACTAAATGCGCAGATGACATGCATATATGGGAGCTGTTTTACCTGTCAAAGGATTTGTATTTCTGTCCATCTAGTCCAGGGGTGGCGAACAAGTTAGACACAAAGAGCCAAAATTTTAAACTGTGAAAGTCAGAGAGCCACACCACGCAGTGACCTGCCAAAGCAGACAAACACTCACACAAAAACACATAATTAAAACCATATTATTCACCATAACACTTTCTTCCCCTTACAAAGACGCACCTAGGTTTTAGAGGCAGAAAACAGGAAAAAAAAAACTCTGAACTAATGGACTGCAGACATAGCACAGGGATGACCAGAGACTGCAGACACAGCACAGGGATGACCAGAGACTGCGGACAGCACAGGGATGACCAGAGACTGCGGACAGCACAGGGATGACCAGAGACTGCGGACAGCACAGGGATGACCAGAGACTGCGGACAGCACAGGGATGACCAGAGACTGCGGACAGTACAGATGACTGCTGACCTTTGGGGAGGTGGGGAGCGGGTACCTGAATTTGATAGGTACCCGCTCTTGCTTCCGCGGAGTTGTTCTTTCATCTTACCTGTTCCTCGATCCAGCCGCGCGCTGTCTTCCCGGCTTCTGTAATGGCGCTCGGCATGACAGCCGGGTGCCCAGTGCGCATGAGCGAGAAGCACTTGCGCTTTGTGATTGGTCCGGCAGCTTCTGGGATCTGTCATGTGTCCCAGGTACCGCCTTACCATTCACAAAAAGCACCGCTTCTTGCGCATGCGCACTTGGCACCCGGCTTTCATGCCACACTACAGAAGCCGGGAAGACAACACGCCGCTGGATAGAGGAACAGGTAAGATCAAAGAACAAAGAAGTAAGAGCGGGTACCTGTCAAATTCAGGTACCCGCTCCCCACCTCCCCAAAGAAA